CCACCCACCTCAGCCTCCCAAAGGTGCGGGATTACAGGCTGAGCCACTGAGCCCGGCTTGGAAAGCTGGTTTTAATTCCCTTTTTAAAAAACAGACTTTGGATACTTTGGTGGGCTACCAGCCATAATCCCTTCAGACTTGTTTTTGGATTTGTATTTATTAAGCATCAATCTTTTCACCTGCTCTGATATTACACTTCCTGTACCTTCACTTTCAAATAGATGGTTTTAGGCTAGGGCTCCCAGATCTCACAAATAAAAATACAGGATATCTACTTAAACTTGAATTTCAGATAAAGAATAAATAATTTTTTAGTATGTATATATATGTGTGTGTGTGTGTGTGTCTGTATGTATAACATACAGACACACACACACACACACATATATATCCCACACAATATTTGCTCTGTGTACTTTATCTGAGAAGTCTATTTTATGCTAAATCTGTTACCACTCTTGGTAACATTTTTAACGTTTCCCAATAACCTGTGTTCTGTAACAAATCAATCTGGATTTTAAACCGGCAGGAAATTTAATAAAACCTTCTTTCTGGGCATATGCTCACTACATACCTGCACTATGGTCCACTTTGGGGAGTAAGAGTTTTGAAAAGCTCTGACATATACTGGAAAACCTAGAAAGCCAAGCACATGTACAGGACAAGATGCATGCTCACAAAAGACCTGGGAAGACCATAAACTTCTTAAACTGAATGGCCTTTAAGCTCAGCACTAGTAAGAAGTAAAGGCAGAGTTACAAAAGGCCTGGATGAGTGTTGCAGGAGGGCCCTACCATAGAGCCAACCTACAAAGACCTGGAGAGTATATTTTTCTTTTTTCTTTTCTTTTTTTTGAGTTGGAGTCTCACTCTGTCACCCAGGCTGAAGTGCTGTGGCATGCTCATGGCCACCACAGTCTCGACCTCCTGGGCTCAGGCGGTCCTTCCATGTTAGTCTTCCAAGTAGCTGGAACCACAGGAGCACACCAGCACACCTGGCTAATTTTTTGATTTATTATAGAGACGAGATCTTGCCAAGTTTCCCAGCTGGTCTCAAACCCCTGGGCTCAGGCAATCCTTTTGTCCACCTCCCAAAATGCTGGGATTATAGGTGTGAGCCACTGTGCCCAGCTTTTTTCTTTTTTGACCATCATAATATTTAACAATGTCCAGTTTTAAACAAAAAATTACAAAGAATGCAAACAAAAAATTACAAGGAATGCAAAGAAAAAAAGTATAGCCCTTTCACAGAAAAAAAAATCAAAAGCAAAACAAAAAGCAGAAACTGTCCCTGAGGAAATACAGACATTGGGATTATGAGACAAATACTTTATTTTTTAATTTTTTTTGAGTGAGAGTCTCACTTTGTTGCCCAGGCTACAGTGCAGTGACACGCTCATGACCACTGCAGCCTCGACCTGCTGGGCTCAGGAGATCCTTCTGCCTCAGCATTCCAAGTAGCTGGAACTATAGGCGTGCGCCACCATGCCTTGCTTTTTTTTTTTTTAATTTATTGTAGAAACAAGGTTTCACCAAGTTGTCCAGGCTGTTCTCAAACCCCTGGGCTCAGGTAACCCTCTCATCTCCACCTCCCAAAGTGCTGGAATTACAGGCATGAGTCACTGTGCCCAGCTGAGACAAAGATTTTATTTTTGTTCTGTTTTTTTTCCTGAGTTGGAGCCTCACTCCGTTGCCCAGGTTGGAGTGCAGTGGCACACTCATGGCCACCCCACACACTGGCCACCCCAGTGTTGATCTGCTGGCCTCTGGCAATCCTTCCACCTCAGCCTTCCAAGTAGCCAGAACTATAGGCGTGAGCTACCATGTCTGGCTAATTTTTTATTTTTTAATTTATTTTATTTTATTTTTATCTTGCCAAGTTGCCCGGGCTGGTCACGAATCTGCGGGCTCAGGCAATCCACTTGCCTCGGCCTCCCAAAGTGCTGGGATTACAGGCTGAGCCACTGAACCCAGCCAAGACAAAGATTTTAAATAAACTATCTTAAATATGCTCAAAGAATTAAAGGTAACCATGGACAAAGAACCAAAGGGCAGCAATAAAAACCCAATTTCTCAAATAAATAGAGAATAACAATAAACAAATAGAAAGTATAACAAGGGACCAAGAAGTCACTTTGGAGATGAAAAGTACAAAAACAAATTATTCACTAGGGTGGTACAAAACAAACAGAGAGAAGAAAGAATAGTTGACTTGAAAATAGGAAAAATAAGCCGGGCTTGGTGGCTCAGCCTGTAATCCCAGCACTTTGGGAGGCTGAGGTCAGTGGATTGCCTGAGCCCGCGGGTTCGAGACCCACCTGGGCAACTTGGTGAGACCTCATCTCTACAATAAAATAAAATAAAAAATTAGCTGGGCGTGGTAACGCATGCCTGTAGTTCCAGCTACTTGGAAGGCTGAGGTGGAAGGATCACTGGAGCCCAGTAGGTCGAGGCTGCAGTGGCTGGGAGCGGCCACTGCACTCCAGTCTGGGTGACAGTGTGAGACTCCAACTCAAAAAAAAAAAAAAAAAGAAAATAGGAAAAATAAAAGTATCCAGACTGAGGAGCAAAAACCAGAAGAATAAAGAAAAATAAATAGAGCCTAAAAGACTGTGAGTCACTATTAACCATACCAAATACACATAAAGGGTGTTCCAGAGGAGAAAGGGGCAGTAAGACTATTTAAAGACATAATGGTCCAAAACTTCCCCCATTTTCTTTTTTTGAGAAAGTAGAATTGATTGAGAAGACAGAAAAGCTCCCATAGTGGGAGGGGACTTGAAGAGGTTGTCCTAAACTTCCCAAATTTAATAAAATAAATGAATCGACACATCTGAGAAACTTGATGAACTCTAAGTAGGATGGACTCAAAGAGCTCCATACTGAGACTCATTATAATCAAACTGTCAGAAGCCAAAAATGAAAAAAAGAATCTTGACAGCTAGTAGAGACTTGAAATGTAAATGGAATCCTTCATAAGATTGTATTTTTATTTTCTTTCTTTTTTTTCCCCCTTTTATTTTATTTTAAAGATGTGGGTACAAGTCAGGATTAGGTACATAAGTGATCTACATATAGGTAAAGTTTGGGCCTCCCACAGGTCCTCACTTTGCCTGGTTTAGGATCAGGTACCCTTAGTTATATTATGTGCCCCCTAGGGAATCCTCAATAAGATTAACTGCCAATTTCTTATCAGAAACCATGGAAGTCAGAGGTTGAGCTATGACATAGTGAAGGGGGGTAAAGACCCCAAAAACCTGTTAAAAAATAATTCTGCATCAAGGAAAATTTTTGTTACTTTTTTTCAGCTGGAGTCTCACTGTCGCCCAGACTGTAGTGCAGTGGCACACTCCTGGCCACTGCAGCCTCGACCGGCTGGGCTCCAGCAATCCTTCCGCCTCAGTCTTCCAAGTAGCCGGAACTACAGGCGTGCGCTACCATGTCTGCTAATTTTTTTTATTTATTGTAGAGACGAGGTCTCACCAAGTTGCCCGGGTTGGTCTTGAACCTGTGGGCTCAGGCATCCACTCACCTCCACCTCCCAAAGTGCTGGGATTATAGGCTGAGCCACTGAGCCCGGCTAGGGGAAATTATCCTTCAATTATGATAGAGAAATTAAGATATTTCCAGATAAACAAAAGCTGAGGGGGTTCATTGCTAGTACACTTACAAGAAATGCTAAAGGAGTCTCTAAGGCTTCCAAGTTGAAATGAAAGGACACTAAACAGAACTAAAAGCCAAAAGTTTATTTAGGTAACTATAAAAATTAGTATTATTGTATTTTTGGTTTGTAATTTCTCCTTTTTCTTACATGATTTAAGAGATAAAGCTGGCAGTAGTGGGAAACTGCCAGGAGGGGGATGGGGAAGTGGGATTGGCAGTAGTGGGAATTTGCCTTGCCTCATCCATAAGGGTACCTGCATAATGAACATTTGTATACCTAACCCTGAATTGTACTCCACATTTTTAAAATAAAAAAATGAAAAGAGAAAAAAAGAAAGAATATATATATGTATATATTAATCCAGTAACAAAATTATTCCATTATTGGTGATACAGTCAAGCAGAATATCTCTCAAATAAGTCAGCATTGCTTTAAATAACTTCCTCACTCTCTCTTTTTCTCACTATTTTTTTCTATTGCAATGTATTTTTAAGGGATGAAATGAAAAACAGACTGATGGACAAAAATCAAGTCTTTGTGGCATTAAGAAAACTCATATAGTTTTCTTTGCAACTTTACATATATATATCAGAAAAAGGGAAACTTATTTAGGACATACTTGCTTCTCTCATAAATAAAGCACGTTTATTGCAGTACTATTCACAATAGCAAAACATAGAACCAACAGCGCTGCCCATTGAAACTGGACTGGATAAAAAAATGTGGTAAATATACACAGTGGAATAGTTTTTTTTATTTGAGTTGGAGTCTCACTCTGTCGCCCAGACTGGAGTGCAGTGGCCACTCCCTACCTTTTCTATAGGCTACGTATTTGACAGTAGTGGAAATCTGCCAGGGAGTGGGGGGGGGGCGGTGCAAACCTGCATAATGAACATTTGTATACCTAACCCTGAATTG